GGTTAACGGTTGGACTCAATGATCTTAAAGGTCTTTCCTAAATAATTCTGTGATTCTATGATTCTAAATGCCCCTGCCACCTTCAATCCCTGTGGCTCCTGCCCTCACCTGCAGCAGAGCAGGGAGAAGGCTCCCGTCTTGTGCAAGCAACAAACCTCAGGCCAGGGCGGCCACCTGGACCCACCAAGCTGTCAGCCGCAGCAGCTTTTCAGGTGTCAGATCTTTACAGCTTGGCGCAGCAGGCCCAGCAGCAGCAGGCGGTGCAGAGTGGCTCTGGGGCAGGGAAAACGGGATCCTCACCTGCATGCAGCAGTTGTCAATGATCATGGTGTCAAATTTGATCTTGGGGTACAGTTCTGCCACTTCTTCACAGCACTGCAGGAAGAGCCCATCGCCTAATTTCCTGCGAGACAAGAAACAATTCAAAGGGTTTGCAGGACAGCAGTGAAATCATTACAGGTAATCCAATAGCGACTGGCATCCCACCGCAGCAGGGCAGGGGAAGGCAGGCAACCCTAGAGCACCCCACCTCCCTGCACAGCCGCAGCCACAGGTGGTGAAATCGGGGCCCAGGGGGAGCAACGAGGGATCAGCTTCCAATGCCAGAGCTTTTCCCCTTCTCAGCTGACAGCCTCCAGGCTGCCGCTGTCAGGCCTCATGCTGGAGACGGGACCATACAGAGAGGAAAAAACACTATTCCCAGGGAAAGCCCAGCCTGCCTGGGACCAGACTGGCGTTGCTCTGATCGGGATCAAAAGCTGAGAGCAACAAGGTCCGAGACGTGACCGCGGTCGCGTATCTGACCATCAGGCAGTGCTCCAAACCTGCTCCTGTGGCACTCACATAATGTTGGCTTTGTGCACAGCCGTGACCTTAGAGCGCCCTTTTTTGGTGGCGTAGTCGAAGGCGAACTTAGCAATACGCTGCGACTTGGCCCGGGTGATGATCTTCAGGCACTCGATGACTCCCTTTGCGCTCTGGACAGGAAAGGGAGCGTGAGCAGACGGCGCACGCGCCGTGCAGCCCAGCACCCTGCCTCGCCTGCCCCCACCACGCCAACAGTCCCAGCACTTTGAGACAGAGATGAGGTGGTTTCCCTGACGCTGGATCACCCCCCATCAAGAGGTTCCTTAATACCCACATCCCTTTTCTTCTGCCATTATCCCTCCTGCAGCCCATCGCTGTTCTTGCTGGGTCTGCGTGTATTCACATCTCTAAATACTCTCCTAACTCCATCACTGTCGCTCAGAGCGCCAGCGCGGGGGAGGGAGGCTCCCGTACCTCATGTTCCAGAGAGCTGTATTCCCCTTCCGTCTGCTCACGAATGATCACGAGGTCCAAGTTGTTGTGGCGTGTTTTATAGCCTGGTAAGCTCTTCACATGGACAACATTTGCAAACAAGTCTAATTTGCGCCTGCGAGAGAAGCAGCAGCAGAGTCAGCATTCCATCATAAGCTATTTCTGGGGCAGCGACTGTTCCCTACAAGTATTGGGGTAACAGCTGGCAATGGCGCAAACAGCTCCCCACCTCTTAAGATGTCTTCCCATTGCCTTCCCTACCTGTCTGTCTCTCTATCCATCTACCTTTCCCCTCACAGATCACAGCCACACCTCGTCACAGCACGGCTTTGAGGACCCCCTCTCAAAGCACCACTGTCCGTTTTCCAGCCACCCACCCCCTCCTCCCCAGGGCCCCCAAGGAAGCAGGCAGCAGGATCACACTCAACAGAGGTAAGATGTCTTCCCATTGCCTTCCCTACCTGTCTGTCTCTCTATCCATCTACCTTTCCCCTCACAGATCACAGCCACACCTCGTCACAGCACGGCTTTGAGGACCCCCTCTCAAAGCACCACTGTCCGTTTTCCAGCCACCCACCCCCTCCTCCCCAGGGCCCCCAAGGAAGCAGGCAGCAGGATCACACTCAACAGAGGCTCCTGGCCACAGGCAGCTCCCTCAGGATCTTTTGCTTCCCGATAACTTACTAATTTCCCATCTGCCCTGGACTCGCTTCCTTCAGCCCCCAGTTCAGTGGCAGAACACCACGACCAAGCGCAAGGCGGTTTTCCCAAGGACTGACGTGTCGGTGCGCAGCCCGGGCAGCCGAGCGGGGGACCGGGCTCACCTGAGCCTCATGTCGTAAGAAGCCAGCTCTCCCTTGTACTCCATGGGGGTGTGGATCTTGCCTGCAGGACAACATTGAGCAGGAGTAAGAACACAGAGCACGGAGCAGCGCTGACAGCCGCCAAGGACATCGCCTGAACCCGGGCGACAGGGCAGCCCGGGTCGGGGCAGGGGGTGCCTCGAGATCCTCAGCCAAGCGCGGAGGCTGATCTCTCGCTACACGGGACCCTGACGAAGCCCTTCACTTCTCTGGGCCATACTAGGAGATCTCGTTTCAAAAGCAGAAGCCGGATACAAGCTCCCCTTTGGTAAGTTCAGCAAGTACTTCAGTAATTTGCTGCTTAGCATAAAGACAGCATGCTTCCTTCTCCAGGCCCTAACCACAGAAATTCCTGCCCTCTGAAAGCACCTAATGGCGTCTGAGATACGGCAACACTTCCTGCAGGCAGAGCAGAGAGCCCCTCCTTGCCGGACAGACAGCTAGCGCCAGGCCTTACCTATAAGGGCCACTTTACTTTCCTTCATAGAGTCAACCACTTCATCCAGTTTTTCTTCCGACGCCATGTTCTGCACCTCACTCAGGTGATGCTCATCGAAGACCACAGGCACGCTGGCAGCCTGCACGAGAGAGCAGAGGAAGAGCCGCCGCCCCGTCGGATCAGAGACTCGGCTACACGTTGCAGAGGGCGCTGACGGGGAGCTCGGGGAGCTGGGACGTGACACCTTAAACCAGCCAGACTGCCTGCTCAGTGAGAAGAGGGAACCCGGACCTCTGGGTCACTTCAGTTCCAACACAAAAACGATGTTTTCTGTCACCTTTAACTCCAGGACTCCCCTTCCTACTGTAATTATAGTTTCAGCTGCATAACCGGCATCATGGCAGACACCCCCATGTTTGCTGCCTTTGATGTGACAGAACTTGTGTGTTAGAAGACAGAACTATTAACTATGGCCTTCCTCCTCGAGTTCTGACATTGCTGCCTGAGAGCAGGGCTCATCACAGATGAGGAAGGAGGACAGAAGGACACGAAGGGTTCTGGACAGCTGGACAGTAACAGCCCTGCGGCCACGCTCCCGACAGGAGCAGAGAGGATGGCCTGTGCCCTCCCCGTCACCAACCCGGACAGCATCAGCGCTTGCTGCTGCCTCAGCAGAGGGAGCAGGACCGAGCGGGTGATGGTCCCAGACTCCGCTGGCTCCAGGACACAGTCCCAGGCTGGGAATATTTTCACGCTGACGAATGAGACAGTTTGCAAGACTGCTGCTCACAATGAACCTATTTATGGGAAGGGTGAGAGCCCAGGGTTTTCACAACCGGCTCTCTTCCGCACCAGAGGAGAAAAACAGGTCGGTCCTGGAGGGTCTCTGGATCAGCAGCATCTTTAACCAACTCTGCAGCTCCTCCCTTCCCCGCCCACCCCGTCCCTGCGAGGGGCAGGAGCCGTTACCTTGAACACCTCCTTGACGGCGTGCATGAGCTCCGGGCCCACCCCGTCTCCGGGCAGCATGGTGACCTGGAACGTGCTCTCAGACTTCGCATTTTCTGACTGCACAGAAAGCGAAGCAGAGTCAGACCTTCTGCTGCACCCCAGAGCCTAATCCAAACAGGACCCCCAACCTGCACGCAGCGAGCTACAGGAAGGTTACTTGCAATGTGAACAGCCGCACCCATAGCATAGTTTTTAGTAATGGAAATTTACTGCGGTACTACCAGCGAGCTTTAACTTAAAGAGCTCCTGCTCCTGTGTTGTTATGAACACACGGCGCAGCACAGACAGCCGATATCCTGTGATCCACGGGCAACCAAAGACCCTTTCCTCAAGCAGCAGTTCCAGGTACGATCTCTCCCTCTGTACAGCAGAAATCCTTACTGGGAGCTAAGAGCACAATCTCATGTTGTTAAATTTTCCCTCGTTTCTACTTCACGTCCTCAGAACCTCCTAAGCCTTCCTCTGCAACAGCCTCCTCTTCCTGTTGCATTCACATTGTCTCGCGGCTTTTTGTGGAACATGCTTTTTTTTGGTCCTGAAGACAAAATCAGTCTCAAAGATAATTCTTGAGACGATCCACAGGCGATCCACCTCCAAATCAATGCTGCCGGCTCCCCCCCGTAGCTGCCTCCTGTTTTCACACAGTCCTTTTACTAATCCTCATCTCCTTTAGCAAGTAATTCCCTGTACAGAGCTGACCTCCAGGCACGAGATTTCACAGAACCAGCCTCAGGGACCAGAAGTCACAGTCAGAGACAAGAACTGCACCCAACAATGTAATCGGACAACAAAAGGAGTAAACAAGCAGCAACGCTGTATGACGTGGGAAATGCACGTGTGTCAGTGACATGAAGCGTAGGCAAACGGTGATCACGGAAAGGCAAAATGAAAGAGCAAGTGGGAAAAGAAAGACAAGATAGTCTTTGCTTTTGATTTTTAGTATCTCGGAACCAAGTCCCAGGGCAGAAAGCCTCGCCTACCTAAATTTCAAGCAGCAACAAAGCATCTGCAGAGGGAACCACGGCACGGGCCCCAGCTCAGGTCTTAAATAATAACATAAGACACCTTCGCTTATAAATGGGAACACACTATCCTGCTGGTCTGAATGCGACAAACACGATGTTAATTTGCTACCTGGCACTTGGGTTGTTTCTTTCACCCTTAGTTCCATGGAAAACAACTCATCACTCCATCACAAGTCTTTATTTCCTGACCACAGAGTCTGAATAACGCTTGTATGTGCTAAGCTACTGCTCACTCTCACCTTATTCGATCTCTATTTCCTCTGTTATTTTACGTTAACTACTACACATAGCTACAGTAAATTTAGGATTAAATAGCAAGGACTGGACCAAAAGGATTTTTCCCACTGCAATCAACACTGC